CGACACAAAAACAGAGAAATTATTGAAATTGAAAGTAAGATACACAATCTAAAGAAACAGTTGGAAGACAAAGATACAACTGGTGAAATCGTGGCTGTGACTTGGTCTATCAATGAAGAATGGAAATGGTTTCATTGGAGGACACAAGAATTTATCATTAAATCGGAACATGAAATTTCAAGTCATACAAAATGGACAAACGGAAAATGTCAGTTCAAAGAGGTCGTTCAAAAACCAGATGCCATTAATGGAAGGATTGAAGGCAATTTCATGCGTGGGATCCATGCCTCTATTACTGCTTACACACAAAAGAAAATAAAATATGCTAGTGAGATTGAAAATTTGAAGAAAAAAATAGAAACAAAAAATAAGAGTCTTACAGAGTGCAAAGATGAATGGGAAAAATATCGAGCTGAACAAAAAGAAAGTTTAGAAGAAATAGAATTATTAGAAAAATATATTGCACAAAGGCGTACTGCAGCTGAAAAATGTCGCTCGAATCTCATGACAATGGAAGATGCAGCAACAAGGCTGGAAGAGTTGAAAGGAGAAAGATTTGATGATTAAAAATTAACTTTAAAAACAAAAAAATAGTTAGAGAGTTTAGATTATAAAACTTAGAATTTTACTCAATACTTAGTAATATCATTAATATGATTTATTAGTGTCACATTAATTTTACATGTATGTGTATTTTCCTTATCAAAGCAAAAAACATATTAACTCTTGTCAAGCATCAAAAGTTCATAGACTTCAAGGAAGTAGTGTATAGGATGGATAGTTTTGCTATGCACTCAAAATGAATGCCAATAACATTATGATCATTACATCATGAATAATAATGAGATGTAAACTAGCGCATTTCCAAATGAATTTCATCATTTTTGATGCATAGTACATCTACATGAATTAGTGTTGTGCAGTACTCTATTTTCTGTTTTAGTTCTAGTTTTAGTTCTACCAACTACTCCATTTCTACTTTTAGTTCTAGTTTTAGTTCTACCAACTACTCCATTTCTACTTTTAGTTCTAGTTTTAGTTTTACCAGTACTCCATTTCTAGTTTTAGTTTTAGTTTTAGTTTTACCAGTACTCCATTTCTAGTTTTAGTTCTAGTTTTAGTTCTGCCAGTATTCCATTTCTAGTTTTAGTTTTAGTTTTAGTTTTACCAGTACTCCATTTCTAGTTTTAGTTCTAGTTTTAGTTCTACCAGTACTCCATTTCTAGTTTTAGTTCTAGTTTTAGTTTTACCAGTACTTCATTTCTAGTTTCAGTTCTAGTTTTAGTTCTACTAGTACTTCCATTTTAGTTTTAGTTTTAATTTTAGTTCCATGCCAAATTCTGATTCTGGCCTTATAGTTCTAGTTTTAGTCCTACTAATACACCATTTCAAGGTGATTTTTATAATTTTTTAATGTAATTTAATTTTAATAACTGAAAAGGGTAGCATTTTAGTTCTAGTTTTAGTTTTAGTTATTCAAAGTGGTACCATTTTAGTTCTAGTTTTAGTTTTAGTTATTAAAAGGGCTCTATTTCAGTTCTAGTTTTAGTTTCAGTTATTAAAAGGGTAGCGTTTTAGTTCTAGTTTTAGTTCTAGTGATTTACAAGTGCACATTTTAGTTTTAGTTTTAGTTTCAAGTCCTTAATAGCTAAATCTTTAGTTCTAGTTTTAGTTCCACTGCTTTAATTTGTCAAATTCTAGTTTTAGTTTTAGTTTTGGTTCTTTGTATCAATGTAGTTCAGTTCTAGTTCTAGTTCTTGGAACTAGAACTAGGAAAAAAATAGGTGTACTAAAATAGATTTAGTTCTAGTTCCGTTGGAACTAGCACAACACTAATACACATATATGTACTTATGTTGTATAGAAAGTTTGAGCTGATTCCGATCTAAATTAAATTTTTTACTTTTTTTAAAAGTTGCTCCAAAATCAGGTAAAAGTCCCTGTACTATAACGTTACACCGACAAAAGATTGTTATACCGGTATTTTAGGGTCCCCATATTGCATAACCCCAGCTTAAACAAGCATACTAAATTACTTAAGTTTTAGTTGCAGGCTCCCATTGCTCCTCTCCAAAAAATTATACAATTCCCCTTAGCCTCATCCCAATAGAAACCCTGGCATACCTTGCCCTGAAAGCAGTCTTGATATCACAGTACTTCCTATCTACTCTGAAACCTTTAGACTCTAAATAGTCAGTTAGAACCTTATGAGCAGTTTCCTCCTCGTAGTTAAGCTCTGGATTAGACCAAATTTCTTCGCTCAGTCTCTTCAGCGAGTCTTTCTCTCCTTCTATTGCTTCTGATGCAAGGTTTTTTACGTTAACAAGCTCAGGATTGTCCGCCATGATCGAGGCAATGATGAGTAGCATCAACTCACGGTCACACCCCCTGGTATCTAATTTGCTAATGGCTTCTTTGCAATCCAAAGTGATTGGAAATGGACCAGTGTGAAAACTGAAAAGGACTTTAGTCTGAGGCTTATTCACTGAAGAAAATGTAGGTTTATTACAATATCTACACTACATTCCTCATCTGTTAATAAATTCCTACTGTTAATAAATAATAGAGAGTGATAAGCAATAGGGGCTTTAGTCTCGCCACGACTATAGGGGCTTCTGCAGTTAAGTGCTGATGATTGAGAATGGGGGAATGATGTACAAGTGGAAATGTTATAATTAGAGATCTAGTTTCCTAATTTAAAATCAAATTGGGTGGTGCAATTGTTCTAGTTGTGTATATATCTAGACTACATTAGATACACAACTACGAACAATTTTATTTATTATATCTTTTCTTTTAGACTCATAATGTTACCAAAGTATATGTAGATCTACATGTAATCACTTTCAGATGTTCTTAAAATGAAAACATCAAGATTTGAAATCATAATGCGTATGTTAAATATACACATATACTACATGGGGTTAATGTGATTGATATCTATTTACAAAACAACTTGAAGTTTCAAACCAAAATATAAAATATTGCATAGTGCAAAGAATACAGCATGAATGCTTGACTGTTAAGTTTACACTCTCATATACACTGTTGACTGTAGTTGCTTTTTAAGCGAAAAGAATTTATAGACAATACTAATCATTATAACGGGAATCATTATAGTCACAGCCATGACCAATGTGAGATAGATGATTAAAAAATAAAGCAAATTTTCATCTGTCTCACAAGATGTGCTGTCCGTATGGTTGTAAGATATACTTCCATTGTACACAACTGACACATTGGTTGTTATGTTGCTGCAGTGCATCATGTAGACTGACACAGAGTCAATCTCAACTCCAAACTCATCTGCTGTTTCAACAGTAATGGTAAGATTATACAATCCTTCTCTGATGATCACTTCCTCTCCTGCCTGACCAGTGGATATGAACTGGTTAAGCAGATACGTATTGTTATTGCTTGCGTTATTCACTGCTTCACCAATTGACTTGTTGTTCAAATGCAGTATGAAGGCATTAGACGAACCATCATTACTGTAGAGGATGTCATGGACTTGCATCAAGCATGTTTCCTCACTGGTTACCTGGAAGAATAAAGCTATTTGTCCCTCTTGTTTCAAAAATACTGCCAGACCATTAGCTGCTCCACTTCTGTAGTGCTTTTCTGCGTTAGTACTGAAGCCATATTCTGCTTCAATCTCCACAATGAAATTGGCATTCGACAAAGGAAGAAGTAGCAATAAAGCTAGGAATAAAGCAATCACTGTATTCATAGTCTTTAAATGTAGATAAAATGCTGATTTTTTTTTCAACAAGTCTTGCTTGTTCTGCTTTTATATGCTCTTGCAATACCTGTGGTGAAATTTCACTTTAAGTGTTAGTTATTCTACATTGATTAAACAATTTCATTTGACAAGTTTTGATTCTATTGTGACTTTTGAAAGTGAATGATTCACAGATTCATTGTTTTCCACTAAAGATAACACTATTTCTGCGTAATATATGATGTGAATTGATTATGATTGTATGTGCTGTCATTGCTCTAAACTTTGTGTTACTAGTAAAGTATAATAATTAATCAATAGTCAAAACTGTTATTTATCTGTGCTACATCATCGACTCTAATTGAATTGTGTTATATTGCATGTACTAGTATAATGCCATTAACTGCACTGTGGCTTCACTTTAATGAGGATATTCTGATTAAATTATTTATTGGTAATCATGTTTAATCAATTGCTAACGAGTGTAAATGAGTATTAGACAGTTTATTACTGGAGGGCATAACATCCTGTGACTTTTTAATCGCATCATCGCATATTATTACTTTTTATTATATTATACTTTTTGTAGATGGACTCTAATTGTGTAGCATTACAAGAAAGGTGTCTCAAATCTTGACGTCCATGAGCATCAAGGAATGTTAGTAGAATATGCCATCAATAGCAAGAGAGCTATAGCTCCGTTGGAATCATAAGCACAAGGTGGGTAAAATGCATCTGAAGATCATAATACTTGTTGTATCTGTTATTTTATTATTTTAGTTAGATAAATGTATGTGCATTTGTGACTTATCTGCTCTAGAGAATATTGGCAAGAGGACTAATCAAAGGGTTTTCAATCAGGTGATTAATAAAGAATTAATACATAGAGTTGCTTTATGCACACATACATGTACATGTATACTGTACGCACAACTTTTGTATATGCTAGTGTAGTTTCTTTGTATTTATAATTATCAAGTACTATCTAATAATTAAGCCTGCATGGTTGACAGTTGCCACAAAAAGCAATGCAAATGAGCACAAAATTGAAATCTGACCAATCAACCTCAAAGCGTTTCTTTGCATCAAAGGGTCAGACTGCATGCCCATGCTATTTTGACCATTTTGTTGAACTTCGCATACTTCTTTTACCTTTATGTTCAGTAGTGGATAAAAGTTTGTGTATGTACATGTACATGTATGCATGTATAGACAGTACGGTGTTAATGTTACTACAGGCATACATGGTGTTAATCTATTCCTAATTATCCTGTAGATAAAAATATACAGCGAACTATTATTGAAATTTTTGCTCTTTCTGACTTTGCTGAGGGATAGCTAGCACACACCTACATTATGTGAAGAGGCAACTATTTGTACTTTACATGTGTATACTTCCAACATGTATTGTTTATACATGCATCAAATTATTATTCCTATGCTTCTTTTATATTGCCTCACTTATTCAGAATAATATCAAAGAAATTTGAAAACCTATAATTTTTAATCTTAAGGTACAAAGTAGTTTAAGATACCAAGTACACGTTATAGTGTGATGCTCTTCTCTTTGTCCATTCTCTGATATACCATATTGCATTAAACCTCTTGATGTGTAAATATTTCAAAGTGTCTTAACTTGATTAAGAATGGCTATAAATTTGTGTGAAGTTTTAGATCAGCTCTAGAATAAAACTTAATTTTAACATGTTCATGACTGCAACTGTGTAGTGTTTGCTGACTTTTGCTATGTTGCTTTTTAAAAAAGCACTATTAATTAAACCTGCAGCATTACAGATTTTAGATACGCCATGATTGCCATGATGTAATAAGAGTTGTTTTATCACACCATTATGTTAATTGCACATGTACATGATTGAAAGCATAATAGCAATTCTAGATGTTGATCGCATTGTTATTCATACCAGAGTGCTCCAGCTTATTAATTGCTACATGTTCTTGCGTATACTTGTGTTGAGATTAAATGTTTTATGTTTAATTTTTTTTAAGAAAATACTACAGCAGCAAAAAAATACAAAAAGTTCTTAATTAGTATCAATATTTCCAGTCAACCAAATCTTCATCTCTATGAAAAAGAAAACAAAGAAAGAGAGAGAAAGAGGAAAGGTTATATCTTAAATGCTATATATACCCTCTACAGTGAGTGAATCATTAGTAATAAAAACTATACCAAAGGCTAATACTACTTACTTCCATTTATCCATAATAGTAAATATAGTAGCAGATCTGGTGGCAGCTCCTTGTGTAGACAATAGAGCAACGGAGTAAATTACGTCCATGGAGTTTGTGACCTTTTGGGTAGGTGTTTTTGATGTATTTGCAAACCCTCTTTGAGACGCTGTTTTTGCATTTGTATGGCCAGCAAACTAGCTTACGACGACGACCTTCAACCTCAGCATCGGACTCCATGACAGCATTAGAATCATCTTCTGTTTGTTCCTCTAACAAATAATCAACAAGGCAGTCAAATTAAGTGTTTACTTACCACCAGTCAATTCAAAATCCTCAACAGCTGTGTCTAAAAGACAAACAATGAGTACTCATAATGAATGATTCATTCATACCATCTTCCTCCTGTACTGGGACCTCATTAACTGCTTTACCAAAAGCAGCACATGCCAACATCAGTAGAACTGACAATGTCAAGAGCTTCATTTTATTATTCCTTTGGTGATTTCTTGATTGATACAAGTTTTGTCACTGTTAATAACAACTGGTGCAGCTCTACCGTTCCTTCCTCTCTTATATACTCAGTGGTGTTGTTTTTGAGTGTTTGTCTATTGTATTGTGTACAGTACTGAACAATAAAATTAAAGCCGTAACTTAAGTCATGAGGGTATTGCTTATTAGATGATCTGTTGTCAATGTCTCACCTTCTTCCTATTTTAATTCACACATGAGACAGCATATTAATTTATTAGAGTGGGAGAGGTTGGTCTGGCTCCTACATACTGGGTATTATAGATTCTTGTAGGTTGGCATATATTAATATTATTGAATTGACTTTGCCATAAATTTACTTGATCAGAACTGTGTATATATTGGCATATAAATATGGTGTATGCACACATAAACTTGTTAGAATTTAACTTCCTATTGATATTACATTAGTTCACCCACATGCTATTATTAACACCATTAGAGGATTTGAATGGCTTGTTTACAAGACATTATAATGTATGATGCTTATCATTAGCAAAATTAGTATCTAGTATTGGCTCCAAAAGCAAATAGCGTAAAGATTTTTCAAGTTATGGCCATTTTAAGAAAACTCCAAAATTTTGAAAGAACCCAATGCTGTTTGCCCATGGTTTTTCCAAAAAATAGCTCTGAAATTAACTCCAATTTTTATTACATTCTTTGATACATATTATGTCCTTATGCTATGTAGAAATTAAGTTTAATAAAAGAAACTTTATTGAAGTTGGAATTAGCTCAAACTTTCTACACAGCATTAGTACATCAATATGTATCAAAAATTTAATAAAAATTTGCGGTGATTTTGGAGCCATTTTTAAAAAGAAACCATGGACTATAGCCTCAGGTAATTTTCAGAATTTCAGTGTTTTTAAAATGGCCTTAACTTGTAAAATTGAAGTTAGAATCAGCCCTACACAGAATAAGTACATCAACATGTATCAGAAAATGTAATAAAAATTTAGAGTGATTTCAGAGCTACATGTATTTTTGAAAAACCGTGGACTATAGCCTTGGGTATTCTTCAGAATTTGGGTGTTTTCTTGAAATGGCTGTAACTTGAAAAATTGATGTGGCAATCAGCTCAAACTTCTACACTGCATAAGTACATCAATATGTATCAGAAAATTGTAATACGAATGTGGGTGGTTTTGAAGCCAATTTTGCTTTTGCCATGCTTTTTTCTGAAAAAATGGCTCTAAAATTAACCCCATTTTTATTACATTTAGAATATGTATTTATAATCTCATGCTATGTCAAAAGTTTAAGCTATTTTTTTAAGTTATAAAAAAATTTTAACTTCTTATACCATTTAAATTCTAATTTCAGTAATTTTTTAAATTCATTTTAAACTTTAAGTCACATTGGTCATCTTACTATTGTGAGTGCATGCGCTCTAAACTCTGTGCTTTTCTCATTATTTCATTTTGCTGGTTGCATGAATAATATGTAAAGTAATGCGCAAAATTAGCAGACCTACTGTATACTGGCATACGACTCCTATGTGCCTATTGGTCTTATATGATACAGAATATTTTTTGTTTCAATAATTTTTTTTAAACTACAGTTTCACAAAACTACACCAAAAATATAGAAATGTTTGTTAATTAATTAGGGTCAATATTTCCAGTTAGCCAAATACGTATCTTTATCCTATGAAAGAAGGAGAGAGAGAGAGAGATCAAGCTTAAATTATTAATGCCAACTTTAATGTATAACAAAACCAAATACTACTTACTTTCATTTATCCATAATAGTAAATATAGTAGCAGATCTGGTGGCAGCTCCTTGTGTAGACAATAGAGCAACGGAGTAGACGACGTCCATAGAGTTTGTGACCTTTTGGGTAGTAGTTTTTGATGTATTTGCAAACCCTCTTTGAAACACTGTTTTTGCATTTGTATCGCCAGCAAACTAGCTTACGACGACCTTCAACCTCAGCATCAGACTCCATGACAGCGTTAGAATCATCTTCTGTTTGTTCCTCTAACATATAATTAACAAAGCAGTCAAAGTAATTGTTTACTTACCACCAGTCAATTCAAAATCCTCAACAGCTGTTTCTAGAAACGAAACAATAAGTACTCATAATGAATGATTCATTCATACGATCTTCCTCCTGTACTGGGACCTCATTAACTGCTTTACCAAAAGCAGCACATGCCAACATCAGTAGAACTGACAATGTCAAGAGCTTCATTTTAATCTTTTGTTCTTTCTTGATTGATACGACTTGTCACTATTGATATAACAACTGGTGCAGCTCTACTGTTCTTTTCTCTCTTATATACTCAGTGGTAGTGGTTGTCTATTGTATTGTGTAAAGTATTAAACAATATAATTAAAGTTGCAACTAAATGTATTAGATGATGTGTTGACAGTGCGTATCTCCTCGTCTTCCTATCTTAATTCACACACGAGACATCATTAAAGAGGGAGAGGTTTTCTTAGCTCCTACACACTGATGTACAAGAGAATATTGAGTATTATATCTAGAATTTTGTTACTTGCATTAACAGGCAAAAATTGAATTGGCTTTGCCATAAATCTACTTAATCTGCAAGGTGTATAGATTTGTATGTGTTTGTTTTCTGCACACTCCTAATAACAACTTCCTATATATATAATCATTCAATTGATTCACCCACATGCTACGAGTAATGCAATAGAGTTTGTTTGTCTGCATGAATTACTGATGTCCTTGTGGATCTACTGTTTATTAGTATAGTTCATAGAGTAGATCTAGTCCAAGAATCTACCATTATAGTATAGTGCATCATAGAGTAGATCTAGTCCAAGAATCTACCATTATATTTATTGTGCATATCCCTTTGCATACAGATATGGCATAACCCATTGTGAATACCTCTAGTCTGGCCATGTGAGACTAGAATACCTCATAATTTTACACTTTGCAAAAAAGATGAACCAAAATAATGTGCATGTGCTGTTCGCTACATTAAACATTCCATATCTAGTTCAACTGATGAATTTACAAATTAAACAAATAAAAAATCAACAAAAATTTAACTTTGATATAGGGAAATAGACTTATCTGTTCTCATGTGATTAATAGTTTGAGGGAATGAGCCCATTTCTTGAGCAGCAACAATAATCATCCCATCCTCAGTTGTCAACTGCAAATATGGTCCAGTCATAAAGGCACATCCCTGTCCATGTAAGAGGAGTACTTCTGGGAGTTCTTCAGTAACAATCACTGCTTTTATGGCTGAAAGTGAAATGCTGTACCGACAGCAGAGGCAACATGCTCTTTTGTCACCACATCGAGTAGTTTCATAGCAAAGACGCTGACCATCAGTGTAAAGGAGACCAGATAAGACGTTATTTTCAAATATAGAGTGCCCCCGGACAACGACAAATCTTTTGACTCTCAAATAAGCTTTGATTGAGTTGTCTTCGAGTACAGAAGATTGGAATATACAGCAACCCATTGCTCAATTGCATCACGCCCCTCCTGAGCCACTCCCCCTGCTGATTCTGCATCAGAATTAATTTTTACAAAACCATTAAAAATTATTATTGTTATTCTAAAAATCCTCAAATTTCTTTTGAAGTTCTTTTTTAAGTAAAACTTGATAGAGTGATGAAATGCCAAGGTCACGATAAACATCATCACTTGCAAGCAACAGCATTTCTCCATCAAGTTGACTTTCTTGAACGACCTATGAAAGTGAGCAAATCTATAATTTCTACATACCAGTACTTTCATTTACGTTATGTCTTAAGTAAATTTATAATTCTTAGGTATAATAGTTAGGTTTAGCTACACTCAAATATTAAATATTTTAAAATTGAGGTTTAAAGAAACAACAATGCTCAAACTAGCAGTAAATTAATTTTTTTTAGTACTTACAATCTACCTTTGCAAATTGACTAAATCGTTTATTCTCCATCAAAAATTGTGCTAACAGTTCAGAAGAAAACACATGCTCCAGCTCCTTTTTCTCTAAAAGTCTTTTAAATTGAATCTGGAACCTCAATTCATAGATTCTATTGGGTATTTGTAGTTCTTTCAAATCTGGCGATGGCATGGTCAAAAGGGAATAGACTATATCTCCACTGATTCCAAATGTTTGAACAAACTCAGCACTATCATGCAATCCCATTCTCTCTAATAGTTGAGCAACATCAGTTTCTGTAAGTTTGCTAGCTGCTTCTGATAGATCCTCGTCTATACAATAATAAGAACTATTAATGCAATTTTAATTCTACAAATGTATTACAACTATAAAATATGTACAATTAACAAGAAATGTTAAATGATGAACATGTTACCTTCTATCATGTATAAACTAGGATCTTGCTTGGGCGTTGGAGGATTAGGAGCAACAGCTCCAGTTGTATTGCTGTCAGTGCTAATGGTCAAATCCTCAACACTTGCGTCTTCAGCAGCTCTGTCTTGAATACTTAAAATCCTAGAAAGGCTAGAGTTCATCATCAACTAATTATACTCAATAAATTAGCAGATTTACCTTGTAAAATTAGGAGAAGGAGGAGATTCAATTCTTGCATTATCTACTTTTTGCTTCATTGACACATTGTGTTGCTCTTTCTGTCTTGTTTCTAGAAGATGCAATAACCTCCTGTGTAAAATAGACAACAATAAAAATGTTAGCAAATGAAGACAGGGTCTTTTATTTTGCCTAATTTTGGAGCAACTTAAAAAATTTGTAAAAATCTAATATGATCAAAAATTAGCTCAAACTTTCTACACAAAAGAGTACATTTATATGTATCAGAGAATGTAATAAAAATGGAGAAATTCCTTTTTTATTTTTAATAAAATTGGCCAATGACCCTGTGCTATGTATGTACCTTCTTAATGCCAACTGGAGATGAACATAATATTTAATTGATAGAGAAAAGATGTATGAATCCAATTTCCTCTCTTTATCTACATCACAAATCTATATACAAATGAAAAAATATGCACTGAATGTTTATTATATTCCATACTTTAGTAGATCTATCGTCAGTGGCTTTGTAGCATATTAGCCTCTCCATTGCAAATAATTGATGCATAGCATTTTTAACAGTATCTTCATCTATAATAATGACATAGTATAATCATTTTATGATTAAAATTAATATTTAGTATTTAAACAAATAGATTCATGTACAATTCAATGTACCTTCATTTTCAATCTTCTCCAATATTTCTTCTTTTCCATTTAGATTAACTTTCAGATCAAAAGGAAGATGACTGAAGTCATAAAAGCCAATCTTAACCCATTCATGGAACAACTCAGATATATCTTTCACATGTGCAACATGAGTCTCAGACAAATTGTTGTACTGGTTCATAAGAAGTCTAAAAATATACACGAAGGGCAAAACATTTATGTCAATAATAACTAATAATCAGCTGTGAAATATATGCATGCAGGCTTACCCTGATCTGATTTTATCAGCAGCACACAATGAAATACCAACGTCATCAATCTTAATGTTATAATATTTATTCAAAAAACTTTTTATTGTGAGTGTATCAATTCCAGTCTCTCCTTGGCTAGATTTCTACAAAATGATAACATTGAATACTCCTTTTAAAAATCAAGGTCTCTTAATAATACCTCTAGTAGCATCTTCAATATTAAGCAAAGGCCACCACAAACACTCAAAAGCCCATCATAAGAGAGAGAATGAAATACAGTCTCAATTTCATGCAGCTCCATCTTTGTCAGTGTAGCCTAAAATAGGATATTGTAAATAAGTAAAGTGAGCTAAAATTCCCAAAGGTTATGCCAATAAAAGTGGGGCAACAGGCCCTGAACTGGGGCACACCTCAAGGCTATATATAAGGCTATAGGCTATTATGGTACATATTGTGCATGTATATGTCCTAGCAATAAATGAAATAGGAAGCTAATAGTAACTTAATTCTCTAATAATGACAGCTCACCATAAGTGAAGGATAACGACTTAGCCTTTCTACTGTGTCTTTATAGCCATATGTTGCTGTATAAAACCTGGAAATCGAAATTTAAATATTATTATTAATAATTAACTTTACTTACAGTCCCCTAGGAACTTCTTCACAAGTGGAGCATTCACTGAAGGCAAAACGCTTTAAAAACCCATTCTTTTCCACAAACTGCTTGTGCACTATGAACTTTTGAACAATTTCACTTTGAATACCTTTAAGAAAGTATGCCTACAAAGGCAATAGAAATATTATATTTGCAAAGCATTATAATTAAAAATCATATTTCATTCGCATTACACTGAAGTAAATTGCTTACCCCAGGCATGACATTGTGTGGTATAGAAGTATCAAGTTCATAGTTATCATAAAGATTAATACCAACATCAAATGACTGGTATTTCTCAATGATAGTCTGTAAATCACTAACATCATAACAACTATAAAAAATACAAAATAGAGTACCAGTATATTTTAAGAAACTATTTGATATACAGTTAGTTTATGCATTGTAATTGTAATAAAATGAAATTAGCCTCATGCCTATGCTATAGCAAAAAATCAAAATCGTACTTTAAAGTAGTGAAAAATTAATTTTAAGTGTGAAAATTGCACAATTTGATATACTTCTCTGATACTCCAAATGAGCAAGTGTGCTGTGTAATCTCCCAGATTGGTATCTTAAACTGTGGCTTGTAGTTCACAAAATGATAGCTTGTAGAACAATGAGTGTAAACAATCTCAAGGAAATGATTATAACTGTCAACCTATCATAATCATATTAAGTTTATTTGTGTTGTATTGAATTTATTATAATCTTACTATTTGAATTATGATTCTGTACAGTGTACTCTTCCCATCTTCAGTTGACACCAGATCATAAAATGTAATTCCAGTGCCAAATGTTTCCAAGTTTGATTCTTCAGTTAAAGAAAGCATTGCATAGCGGTCATACATTTCTATAAATAAAACAAAAGAAAAATCCATGCTATCTCTAGCATTCAATCAAGTCAGTAGTGTTTCAGATAAGGAAATAGTGGCATTATTGATTTTGTTACCTTTGATTTGACGCAACTGGCCTAGTCTTTTCTCCTCTTGGTCAGGAAAATGTTGCTGAAGAATTGACGTCAAGACTTTTAAAGTCAAAGTATCTTTAGCTACATCCAATGTAACCATGTAACATGCTTGAGAGTGTATCCAATTGTAAAGATCTATTAGAACAGGTAGGAGGTGAGCACCAGTATTTAGTGCTGAACGTCTCAAGAGGAACTGATAGAGGACATAAAGTTTTGAGTCTACATTGTAAAGATCATTGGAGAATAGAATGCAGTATAAGAATCCATTCTTGGCTGGGCAAATATTTAACTCAGGAACACTCCTAGATAACTCCCTAACATGCATTGATATGACATAATAACATATTACCAGCAATAATTTAATTGCATTTACCTCATCACCTCACCAACTGTATTACCAAAGGTTGAAAATTTCTTTTGAGGAGACTACAATGATAGCATTAAAAATTTGAAATACAAGCATACACTAAAAATTTCATACCTTCATCAACCTCCATGCTTGCAAAAAGACTTCATTATGAAAAATACACTCATACTGAGCAAGATTATCTTCATCTGGTAATTGCTTGAAGGCTTTCCAGCTTTTATCAAATCTAAGAGTGCTCAATGCCTATTAATAAAACAATAATATAGCTTCTACCATTAATTTGTTTCCCCTTTCTTCATTACCGTGTACATATTCTGAATCCCAATACTGACAAGTCTTTTTCTTTCTTCACGTGACAAATTGAACTCAGTCATTAGCATATCCCATAAATCTTTTAGCCTTTTAAGACACAGTGAAACAATATTGGGCTTCTGATCAAAAGGAGAAGACCTAATAATGTGAGGTTTAACAGCAATAGAAAGACAAAGTAGCCCATAGTTCATCCATTGAGTAAATATCACAGAATAGCGTGTTAGGCTATTCCTTTTTGTAAAACGAAAAGTTTGATTTGTTGGAAGTACAACATCAAAATAATAAGTATCATTACTCCCAGTCACCTATGAAGTGGATAGAAACAACAGCTAAGTTGTAGTACTAAAAATAAAATATGTTTGACTCAATACAAAAGAGACACAACTAATGTTAGCAGCTCTACACAAGCTTACCATAGTTCCAGGTACAAATTTAGGATTAATATTCTGAGTTGAAAAGAGATGTTCCCAAAGATGACAGCAATTCTCTTCATTACCAAACAAAATTGCAGCCAATTCCATTAAGCACTCCACATGCTCTTTGTCCCCCTCACCTAATTTGGTTTACATATATATGATGTTTATATACTGATTTGGAGGGATTACAGCTATTTAGAACCCAAAACGTGAGTGGATTCTAAATAGCTGTAGTCCCATAAATAACATGGGTTTGTAGTGTAAATTACTTCTGACAAAGAAGTCTTTCAGGTTATCAGACGGTGTACCAGCATGGCTTGGGTCAACAATCCACATTAAGAAGGGAAGGAAGACATCCTTATCAACATATTGACTGACACTATCTTGCAATACTCTTTTAACTACTAAAGCCCTTGCATTAGTTGGAAAAACCTCCTTATATATAGCAATAAAAATGGACATATTGAACGTCCATTTTGTTTTATCATTAGAAGTCTTGTTACTGTAACTATATATAATAAAAACAAAACTTTATATAAAAATTACTTAGTACAGTTAAGTCATTTTCATATTGTTATACACACAAAAGGAAAATATTACATACCAAGCTAAAGCAACTTTCATAAGGTCATCCACTCCTTTCTGGCCATTGAATTTGATTATAAAAGTAATTGATCTGTGAATTTGTGTATATATTGCATGTCTGCTGGAGTGCTTATCCTTCAAATACAACAATAGGGGTAGCTCATCTCTAGAGGAAAGATTCTAAAAAAACACATTAAATTTAGTAGTACCATAAGTTATATACCATTTACCTCTCGAGGGAGGGCTCTGTGAATCGGTTGAAGGCAATGATAGTCATGAAGATTTGATTGAAACTGTGTTGTCATCATAGAGAATAACATTCTTTCACTTTTACAAGCACAGAACAACCTACAATGAAATAAATTACCCAGCCATCTACTGAAGATAGAGTAATACCTCATAAGCAAGATCAGGCCATTGCCAGTCAAATCCTTTTTTCCTTTCATAACTAGGTTGTTACTTTCTTCAAGCATACTATTCAAGCCATCATAAGCATCGGCCAACTATGAAAACAAAATTGCATTACATTTATAGCATGACAAACAAGATAAAGCTAATATACCACTTGTCTCTCATTTTCAGTCTTCAGTATAGTAATTGAAAGTGATTTAATCGTCACATGAACCACAACTTGTCTTTCGACAACAACTAACTTTGACAAGGGACCAGAATAGCCATTAAGCTATGAGAGTTGATTTAAATATTAGCTGCTCTAATAAGTATCAATAGTGTACTTTCTGGTAATGTGACACAAGCTCTTGAAACCTGTGGCTTTCCCTGTATAGTCTGCCTGAACTAGTCTCAAAGTACATATCACACAAAACATGTTGAAGCCCACCCTACACAACAAACATAAAGTATGTATTTTATGCATCAAAGCTCTCTGGTATAAATAGTAATAAGAATTCATATATATATATATGTATGCACCTTGCTTTGTGATATCATTTTGGGATAGCATTTGAAGTAAGGTACTCCGTATGATAAAGGAGACTCTTTGTCAGATCCTTGATTGATAGCATTACACAGGCCAATCCTTACCTAATTTAAAAGATTAGTAAAATAGAGCATTGATTTGGCTAACTTTAGCAGTAAATAAAAGAAGAGGGTTATTTTCATTGTTCATTTTAACTGATGCTTCTGTTTCTGCATTGCTGTCAATGCTCCCTTTCAATAATAACAGAGAGAACAGATGCTTATACATAGCTGCAGTACGCTTCATTTTCTCAGTTGTGCATTTACTGACAACCAAGCCAATAATAGAAAAGATAAAAGCCGTTGTCTCTGGAGTGATGTCATCATAGTAAAACGTTATGTAGTGATTGATTATGGTCTCAATGATAGAATAGAAAGGTAATGTTGGATAATAGGTTTGATCATGAAGTAAATCCAGTACGTTTTTCTTCTTAAAGACACTGAATACAACAGTGTCAATCAACACAGTCAAACCAATGATATTTCCCTAGAAGCGGTATACATGTAGTTCAAATATTTACACCAATAAGCTGTATTATAATTGCTAAAAAGTTACACAATTTTATGTGTGTATAGTTAGAATTCTCAACTACTTACAGAATCAATTTCAGCTTTTAGGCTCTTTGTAATTTCAGTGACAAAATTTTCAGGTGAAATAGTAAAGGTGTTTTTTGAATCAATTGTTATCATATGATTAACAGGAAAAGCAACACACAATATGATCCACTTGCTCTTCAGCTGAGAAGAAAATGCACTTGTGGAATGGAGCTTGAATAAGTTCATCTGTTACAAAGCAAAGGAATCATTAAAAATGTCATTGAGCAAGTAAATGCAGCTCTTTAAAGCACTTACCATTCTATAATATAAACTTCCAAGGTTTTTCATCTTTAACCCAGTATCACTGCTTGGATTTGAACAAGAAATCAAAAGACCATCATAAAGTATTTCAATGATGTGCTGAACCACTAATGTTTCATCAGTGAGATCTAACTTTTGCTGTAAGCTTGAGTACTTAGGCATAATTTCTGAGCACTCATCAAGTATTCTTAGCAAAGAAAGTGAGTCGGCATCTAGCCATGAAACTCGTAAGTGATAATGCAGTTGAGCCAACTTCAATGGAACATTATCTAAAACAAAAGGACACAAAAATTAAATTACAAACAATTTGGCAGTGCAACAAGCATCATAATGTTACCTGAATCAACATGAGCCAGGTGCTGTTGCAGGCAAATCTTAGAAAATATCCCAACAGTTCTGTCCAGCTGCTTTGTTATTGCATCATTAAAATATCCAGCCCAAAGTTGAACATCTTTCAGCAATTCAACCACAACTTTAATGATACTTTCATCTTCCTATAAAGTATAATATTAAATTGATATTTGTTAGACTATCTGGTATGTAAACTGGTTGTACCATTGATAAATCCTAATACAGAACTAACCTTGATTAATATTGCAATCATTTTTACTGTTTGTTCAATTTCCTCTTTTGTTCTAGTCGAAGTTACTCCTTTTAACTTTTGCTCTGTCTCATCTTCTGCCACTACTAGCTCTAGAGGCTCTAGTACAGAGCAAAGAGCCTTGTTGACGAGTGCTTCTATTGATTTGTAGACAACTGGAAAAAATGGAAAGCGAGGTACAATGTTCTTTCTGTCATAAGAGAGTAATATGTGATGATTGAGAACAGTGAGCTCTAGCCTGATCTCTTCAAGAGATTTAGGAAGTGGAAGAACTGAAAGTATTTCAAGGAAAGGACCTACAAATTTTTCTTCTCCTTCTCCTCGACCCATTACGGTGTGCATTGCCATGTTTTGATTAATCATGAACAAAAAGTACAAAACAAAATTCTTGAAACTAGATTGTATGGTAGCTTCTATGGTACTGGAAAGAGTGCAGGTGGACTGATACGTAACTGCATAATTAGCTGCATGATGGGACAACTCGTACATGGTGCTCTTCTGCCAGTAACTATTAAATCTTTTCTTTATCACGCTGTCAACTTTTAAATCAAAGAGAAGATTTTTCCAACATTTCTTAGGATCTGCCTCATTAGGAAAATCATTTATGCGTTGTATAGGAATGCTGTTTGAAATCATGGGAAGCCATTCTTCAATCCACAAGTTCAAAATAGAATCTGGTACAAAACTTTTTGTCTTCACAGGCTTTACAGTTTCTGTTGTATCACTTTGAAGAAGACAGATTTTAAGCCACTCTTCCACATCTGTATTTGCTGTCGTTTTTGTCTGTCCAATCATATCCATGTAGATGTGTCTCCAACCACTTAGGAATATTGAAGGATAGCAATGAGAGTAAAACATGTTGGCAGGGAAATGAAGTATGAGAAAGATAAGTTTATTGGCATTCAGCTCCTTCTGAGTTAGCTCTGCTTCTTCAATGAGTAGCCTTGTGTGGTTAATGGTGTCTTTGTGTAGTTTGTTCATGTCAGCTGAGAGAAGGAGAACGGTACAAGAAGACGAGAAAAACTGGTTTAAAATGGTATTCAATTTCTCCTGACTTGTCAATTTTGTGATTATGAACGTATATATTTGGTCAGAATCCATCTTGAAAAACTCAGCTAGCAATTTCTGATCTTTCTCTTCTTTTTCTGTTCTTGATTTGATGTAGAAATGTGCTGGTATAAGTTCAAGAAGGACTGGAGATGTTCGCGTGTAGCAAAGGAACTTTCTGACTACACTAGCCTTTTGGTTTTCATCCATTTGACATTTAATGATATTGGTAAGTGAAAAATGGCGTTGGTGAATAAGATAGCATGATTTATAGTAATTTTCTATTTCTCCACTGTGTATGACAAGTGCTTCTGGTGTCATTAGGTAGAGGAGTTGCTTGGTAAAATGTATGGTCATCAATTTACTCAGTAAATGATATATAAAATTCTCTTGTTCATTAAAGGAGACCGTTGCTTCATTTAAAAACTCAATATCTCTCTTAACAAGAGCCTCTCGTTCTTTTGCATTGGACTGTTCAAAAAATGCCTTGAACCCTTCCTCTTCACGATGATTTAAATGCTCTATTAATTCACTAAATTCCTCACAATGTCCCTAATATAGTTAATATAAGTATAAAATACTAACTAAGTATACAATAACTAACCAATGGTAAAGCTATTCCAAACTTGTCTGAAAAACAGTCAACAATTTGTCTTACAAAAACTCCTACATCTGTATTGCACTGGCACTGATGCTTTTCATTAGAATCAACCTCATCTGAAAGCGGTTTGTTACTGCATTCATATGATTCTTGCTTTATTAAGGGACGATTACCACCAGTTTCCTCCTCAGACAAAGAAACAATCGAAAGCAAAAGGGAATCAATAGTTTGGTTTGTGAACCCATAAAAACTAGACTCATTGCACTTTTGAACAAAACTCATAATCTATAATGAGAGAATGTATAATTTAGAATATTGCACTCATGGACTTTCTCCACAATTAGTCAAACTTACATTATTTCTCATGCAATCAAAAAATTTTCTGATGCTTTGACTGTGCTTGGACAAAGATTCCTTAAGTAGAACCTTGTGAGTCAATGAAAACTTTTCAAATCGATTAAGGAAAGGTCTCTCAGTTTCTGACACTTCAGATTCACTAATAATCATGGCACAGTTAAAGAATGGACTGACGCGAGTTGGTTTAATGACCGGACCAATAGCCACATTAGAGTAGTAAGACTTCTCCCCTTCATTTATTGTACTATTGATGCAGGTGAAGTGCTGGTTGAATAGGTCATAGAAACATTCTTGTATTTCTTCAGCTTGATATATCATGACAGTGTGACCTTGTGTGACAGAATGCCTAATGGCACTTGCAGTGTATAGCTGTAAATAAAAAAATAGTATTATGCTTATGTACAGTACATACTATTGATTACACTCACCTTTTGTGAGTCATTGTCTCCTGGTAGCTTAGAGCAAGAGAGTATTCTAGTTTCATTCCTTTTCAGTATACCAAAATTAAAAAGTTGCCTGACAAGCGACTGGTCCTCGCTGCTATCAATAAGTAGCTTGTAGCGATTTTTGTTTTCAGAATTGAGGTCTTGGGACTTTCGTATAAAGCTAGTGCGCAATATATCAACTAGTGACCTTTGCTGTAGTTGACTGGGATTAGAACCAATCTATAGAAAAGGAAAAAGCATAATACAAAGTTTAACTTGATATTACTCATGCTTAATAGTAAAATAAGGAAAAAAAACTCACAATTCCAAGGAAAGCTTTTAAAAGTTCATCAAATTTATTTGTCCCACTAAAATTTTGTTCAAGAGCCATCACGACAGACTGTGGTGAAATTATCTGCTGACCAGTGGTATTTAGAGCAGTAAAAAAGTATATAAAGTCTCTCAGGCCAAAGAAACTATTATAAACTGGAAGAGTCATCATTTGCTCATAAATCTTTATAAAGCCCTCAATGATACTCATGTTGTCATTAATGCGCTCATCAGGTTGACCATGACAGAATGAGAATCTAGCTAACTGGAGCAAGTCCTCGTGTGATGCTTCAGTTCTATATACACTAATAGCACGATTAGTTTTAGCAGCATCCAGCACAGTATTGGATAAACCAACAAATGAAACCTATTATAAAAAGTAAATATAAACTATTAATAATGATACTAACATGAAAAAAATTATTTTTGTTTTTTTAACTTGCACTTTAATAATGTACATATGCTATTAATACTATCATGTACATGTACATACCTTGGGATTATCTAAAAAGTAATGAAGCACTTTTAGAGACTCATGAGTGTATTCTGGAATACCAGCTTCATCCATCAGTACCACTGACAAACTCTTGATTCCTCCTTCATCAAAGGTCTTCTGTCGTGTTATTGCTCTCTGAAAAACAACTTCAATCTCATGTGATGTCGATTTCCTGGAACACTGATAAAACTGAGGATCCAGACTCCTAAACAATTCAGAGTTCTCAAGCTTTTTCTTGTTTGATTTTGTACCAAGAAAATTTTTTGCCACAATTTTAAACGAGAGGGTTTTTGAAGAACCAGGAGGGCCAACGATAATAACTGGAATCTTTGTCATTGTGCATACTATGATAGCATAAACATTCTCCCTAAGAGCCTCAGTGGGAGCTATACCTTTGGGTAAATCTATGTTTTCAGACACCCAAGTCAGCTCATTAGACAATGCTTCATTAAAAGTTACAGGAATGCCACACTCTCCAATGGTATGTTTTTCATGCATGATCTGTTTAAAACGCTTCCGAAAACTTTTCCTTTCTTCTCCCCCAGGTTGGACTGTTTTTTGAGACTTTATAATTTCGTCACTCAAACGAAAATAATACACTAGTGCCAATGATATAAAAACTGCACGAACAGAAATCCTAAATTCAGACTCTTGTCCATATTTTGTGTCACATGTGAACCATTTCTTGAGATAAGAATACAACTGAAAAACTCTTTTAATGTCTCTTTGACTGACTGTGCTCTGAGCAAAAAGTTTAGCATCTTCTTCATTTACACCCTCTAGGATAAGGTTCTCACAAGCAAAAGCTCGGATAAGGTCCTGTGCTTTAGCTATTTGCTCAGCAAGGAAGGAGTATTCGAGCTGAGGCATGTCTTCATATTCAAGACGAAACTTTTGCTTAATGTATTCCTTTTCATCTCCCTTTTGCAATTGGCCATAATCCCACATTATAAGCTTGAGTGTTGGTGGAAGGTTCTGAACGTAATATGTAGGATTAAACCAGCCCTTTTTTTCCTTTTGAGTTGATTTGGTAACAACTGCTAAACTATTGGCCCGATGAGGATTACAGGCAGCAACTATGAAGATGTTTCCAGAAGTAGAAATAGACTGTAAAGTAATAAAAGGTTATTTAAAATAAATTCAATTCACTCAGCACATATTGTTTATGTCAGGGTTTCCCACAGTATTTTGGCATAGTCCTCAAATGGCTTCTTGTCCGTAGATTGTCAAGTTCCTCAATTTTTCCAAAAATGGCTGGGCTAAAACTCTCCACTTTTATAAAATTTTTTGATACATATACATATCTTTATTGTGTGTAAAAAATTTGAGCTGATCTGATTAAATTTGGATTTGTATGAATTTTAAAAGTTACTCAAAAATTGGGCCAATGAACAAATTTTGTCAAAAATGGCTAGGAGAGAATTTTTACTTTTTATAATTTTTTCTGATAAATATACATCTTCTAATGTTGTGCAGAAAATTTGAACTGATTCCAATCAAACTTAGATTTTTTATAAATTTTTAAAGTTGCTCAAAAATAGGGCTAATTACCAAAGTATAGCCTTTGGTTGCTGGCCAAATTTTGCTGAAAATGGCTTAGAAAAAATTCTTTATTTTTGTAATTTTTTCTGATGTATACACAAGGTTTGATGTCTTGTAGAAAATTTTAGCTGATTTTGATCAAATTAGGATTTTTTATGAATTTTTGAAGTTGCTTCAAATGCCATGCACAGTATTGTTGTACTGTCAGCTCATAAAGCATGCTGTTTAGTTCACTTAGCATGCTTTGTGAGAAACCCTGGTACGTAAACAACTAAAACAGAAATTAAAAAATTGAGAATCATGCATTATACTTACTAGCTGCATAAATAAATTACATATTACTAGACAAATTAGATCAGGGATAAGCACTTATATTGCCAGAAAAAAATTCATTGTGGCTTTGATTTAAAATCACAATGAGGCTAAGGCCTTTTTCCAAAAATTAATATAGTTTTTCTAGATATTCTACCACTAACACACACAGATGTTACACTTAAAAACAACTCACTCTTCCATCTATTGTGCCATCAATGATGATCTCTTTCATAAAACCAGGGCAACATGAAGTGTTAATTTCATCTAAAAATACCTAAATAAATGAAATAAAAAAAAAAATATATATATATATATAATTTGCTTAATTAGCATGCTTGTACAAACAAAATGTATTTTATTTCTGTAACCAACATACTGTTAAAATTGGCTTCTGATAAAGTGTCTTTAATTCAGGAGAATGCTGAATAAAATTTTCATAGTAAGAGTTCAATGACTCAGCATGCTTTTGAACATCACGGAAGAAATTCTCAACTTCTTTTGCAGTCATAGCTAAAGCAAATAAATACAAAATAATTATTTGTGATTGCAATTAATGTAGCTACCTGAATGAATGTTAATTTTATAAAAAGTTTCCCTTAGTCTACCATAAAGAATGCCACAAACAATTTCTGCCATTGTCTAAAAATTCAATTAATAAAGGATATGTGGACAATAAGAGTAAATCAATAACTACTACAAAAATCAATGTGTTAAACATGAATGTTAATGACCATATAATAGTATTAAAAGAAAAGTGTTTCAGAGCTAAAAAGTTTCATACTATCTAAACTAATATGTACATTTCACCACAGACCACAATGCACTGTTTTTTTGCAATTTTCAATTTAGTAACTTACATTTTCATCACAAGTACTCCGTGCAAAAATCAAGAGCTCACTAAATTCTCTATCATTTCTACACAGTTCGTGTGGGATTTCAAGACTTGCTATAACAGGATCATACATGTTAACTTGAAATTGGCTCTTCAGAACAGTAAAGAGAGTAGCAGTCGAGTTTGATGGATCTTGAAACTTCAGTAGCTCAGTAATAATATTAAGAGCACTTTTCACATTAGTCTCAAATTTATGATCTTCCGTAAAAAGTGAAAGAGCATCTTCCAAAGCTTTTTTCTGTGATTCATCATGAGAATCTTTTTTTTGAAGCAAGGATAGTTTCTCTTTGAAAAAAATCTATGTAAAAGAATATAAAGAAATCCATCACAATAATAAATAATGCATCATGATAATACATAATAATGATTCTCCATTATTCACTGTCATACTAACTTCTATTCGACTTCTCTGTAGAGTCAACTGCTCGTTCCATGAATGATTCCAAAGTGATGACAAAAGTTCCAATAAGAATGTTTTTCCAACTCCTGTCTCTCCTTCAATTACTACTGGCATGCCACACTCCTTCCTCTCATGAATGTTTAGCATTTTGTGAACAAAATCCTTTGTGAGAACATACTTCTTCTTTTTTATTAGAGCAATTTCACCCTTTTCATTTTTCCTTACATTCAAAGCAAATGAAAGGTACTCGTGAAACATTTTTGTGCTGAGGCGTATTCTAAAAGTAAAGGTATTGTCATGATTTTTTAATACTTAAATGACTGACCTATCAGGTGGTATAATAATGCCAATACTTTTTAACTGTTCCAGTTTTTTATCAGACAATTCTTCTGGATTTGAACAAAATAATTTAAACGTGCCTCCACCATTTCCAACATCATAAATAAGCTAAAAGAGAAAAAAAACCACATTGGAAGTTCTGCAAAATACTAGTAATTCTTATACTTGTCTGTGACATTTTGAAGACCATGACATCGAAAGTTTGCAAAAGTTCGGTACCTCCTGTAGCATTATATCAAATACATTTGATCTCCATTTAGCTGTGTTACATTCCCCAATCTTATTACCATCATCATCAACAACTGGGTAAGGAAGTCCAACGTTATTTTGAAAAAAGACACTATCCTCCATAAAACGGCAGCGCCTTTCCATATACCTAAAACAGTAAAGTAAATTGAAATTTATAATGTATGAGCTTTGATTAGCATTACTACATGTAACTGTAACTGCAGTGACAAAAAGAAGGAGTATACATTATCTATATGTAATTAGTATGCCTAAAAATTCACGCATTATGCTATTTCACTGCTCCACTCATCACGCCAGAAACTGGCATAACAGCTCAAACTTTCTACATAGTATAAAGACATCAATATGTATCAAAAATTGTAATAAAAATGGGGGGGGGGAATTTTGGAGCCATTTTTGAAAAACCATGGGCTATAGCCTTGGGTATTTGTCAAAAATTGGCCATTAAAAAAATGTCCATAACCCAAAAATATTTGTCAAAAACAGCTTAAACTTTCTACATAGCTTAAGGATGTCAATATGTATCAGAAAGTGTAATAAAAATTTGGGATGACTTCGGAGCCATTTTTTGGAAAAACCATGGGCTATAGCTTTGGGTATTTGTCAAAAATTGGCCAATTTTAAAAAATGCCCATAACTTGAAAATTATTTGTCAGAAACAGCTCAAACTTTCTACATAACTTAAGGATGTCAATATGCATCAGAAAGTGTAATAAAAATTTGGGGTAATTTCAGAGCCATTTTTTTGAAAAAACCATGGGCTATAGTCTTGTGTATTTGTCAAAAATTGGCCATTTTAAAAAATGTCCATAACTCAAAAATATTTGTCAAAAACAGCTCAAACTTTCTACATAGCTTAAAAATGTCAATATGTATCAGAAAGTGTAATAAAAATTTGGGATGACTTCGGAGCCATTTTTGGAAAAAACCATGGGCTATAGCTTTGGGTATTTGTCGAAAATTGGCTAATTTAAAAAAATGCCCATAACTTGAAAAATATTTGTCAGAAACAGCTCAAACTTTCTACATAGCTTAAGGATGTCAATATGCATCAGAAAGTGTAATAAAAATTTGGGGTACATAATTTTGGAGCCATTTTTTCGAAAAAACCATGTGCTATAGCCTTGTGTATTTGTCGAAAATTGGCCATTTAAAAAAACGTCCATAACTCGAAAAATATTTTTCAGAAACAGCTCAAACTTTCTACATAGCATAAGGACATCAATATGTATCAGAAAGTGTAATAAAAATTTGGGGTAATTTTGGAGCCATTATTTTGAAAAAACCATGGGCTATATAGCCTTGGATATTTGTCAAAAATAGGCCACTTTTAAAAAATGCCCATAACTAAGAAATATTCGTCAGAAACAGTTTAAACTTTCTACATAGCATAAGGACATCAATACCTAAAACAACAAAAATTTGTCAATTATTACATAGCACTATAAGTACGTTAAAAACAGGAGAGAGCATAAGTTTCATTTACTTGAGGTAAATTGTTGTCATCAACTGGTTACCAGATGCCGTTGAGGGCAAGTGCTGCTCAATAAGCTCATGGCACTCATCTGGTTTTACTTCACCAATAATTTTATCAATCTTAATTATCTTGTTATCACCTAGAATAAAAAAGAGAAGGAAGTTTCGCATTGCATAAAATACTGGACATACGTTTCATAAGATGATCCAAGTTCTTGTCGTGATATCCCTTGAGATACTTACAGACTAACTGGACTCCACTGCTGCTAACATCGTAAAGTGATGGAGGTTGTGTTTTTTTGCCAAGGAGAGCAAAAACAGGAAAAATCTCATCAAATTTTTTTAATGATCTTTTGAGTGATTCCTCGTCCACTGAAGTCACAGAATCATTACGAGAATAGGCACTTAATGATTTATCAGAAAAATCATTAGAAGCTTCAATGGATACTCTGCGATCAATAGCTTCTTGTATAAGAGGAATATCCCAGAATGGTGCCTATTATACATAGTGTGTGCCAAAGGAATGAGTGAAACTTGATT